ATGTGTTTAAAAATTACCACTTTAAGAGCAGTACCTACCTACAAGAGAGGTCACACATTTTACAATATTATAATTTTTTTAAACAAATGAATAATGATTAATTATTCATTAGTCAAAAAAAAAAAAACGCACACAATATGTATAATAATAAATTCAAATACAAAATTAGGTCAATAAGGTACACATGATAAAAACACAATAATGTATAGTGTTTTTAAACGTTATAATTTCGTTAGATTTATACTTAAGTATATGTGTTTCTTTTGTTTGGACAAGGCTAGTGCATAATTATTACAAGATTCATACTATATATTAGTTTATTACACATGTATATGATCATTCATTACATTTTTTGACCGAAGGTCGATTAAAGTTCTTATCGCACAATTAAATTATTTAACTAAAATCGTGCCAAGTAAAGGAAATGTTGTAAGTCGTAGGTAACGCAATTTATTAAAATTCGAAACGAAAAAACATTTTCATGAGAATAATATAATAATTTTGTTGTGGTATTCAAACAAAACAATAACCAATTATTCGGGGCGAGGTGGTATAATTTATGAACACACGCAATATATATTATAATATATTTCCATGCGTCCCAACTTGTCCGAATTATGTAATTTGGAAGACGAAAAAAACTTCAGCATAAATATTAAGTACCTAGGTAAATTATACCTATTTGTAATTTGTGTATCGTAATTAGTATAAATTACGATATTTTTATAGATGTGTACATGATTATAAATTATAACACAATCTCCCATTGTGGTTTAATATATTTATATAAATACATATAAAAAATAAAAGATTTTAAACAATAGGCGATGATAGTATGAGCATTTCGTTATCATATACATATATTATATTGAAACAGAGTACAGACGTATAGATCATACGACGTCGTATAAACTGGCATGACGCAAATCATAATTTTTTTTTTTGGGTGTACATTATAAACTTTTTATGTACAGGTATTTTTTTTTCAAATGACGTGTACGCATGCGCGATGTAGATCAGAAGTTGAGAGTGCATTTTCATCGGCCGTTCGTATACATAATATGGTGCGTATTTTATAATTTATTCGGGGATGGTAATGTGTCAGCCGACAGCGACGATTCAGAGTTCAAACTCGCCGGACGATTGTCGATACATTTCCATATTTTTTCATTTCAGTATAATAATAATTATATTATGTGTAGGTACAAATAAATACACAATATTATATCGTTTGCGACGGTGTTTTTTTGTCACACTTTTTTTTAATAATAGTAGAATAGTATAATATGTAAGTATATAGGTAAGTAGTTATATAACTATATAGTATATAGGTATATTACAGTACACAAAACAAACGCACGACTTTGGAAATTATTATTAGTTTCTTATATTTTTTCTAGTGCCATCAAATCCTGAGTGTTTTGAAACGTCAGAACAAAATTCGAAAAACACTATTAAATCTCCTGAAAAAAAGTAGAACCGTTCACGGGTCGTTATTAATATTATATATATAATATAATATAATATATCGTTAGACCGCCACACCATAAGTTGAATACCATCGGAAGAAATGCATTGTCATTATTTAAGAAAAAATATTCCAACGAAGTTATTCAATTACTGGCCAATAAAATATGATCTTATATCTTAATTGGGCTTAAAAATGCGAAATATTATCTTACAATTTTAAGACAAATTTCATTACAAGCCAGATGTGCCTAATTAATCTTTAATAATGAGCAAATTACTGCTATAGTCAGTCTTGTAACAGCTACTGGTGTTGTATTGTACTATTGAACCTGTATCAACCGTATTCAGTATTTCAATATGATTTGTATACTACCAAAGTGATACTGTTATATGAGTAGACAATTGAGTACAAACCCTTATACTATAGTAATTTTTCTGATTATAAAACAAAATACAAATTAATGTGACTTAAATAAATTAATAATAAATTATAATTAAAAGTAATTAAAAATATAATTCAGAGTTCGAGTTTTGAATTTATTTTAAAAACAAGACACAATACATCTACAAAATACCTATATTACTACATTGAGTATGTAGACTTTTTTAGTTTTGATTTTGTTATAATTAAAAATACAAAAACTGTTTCTTCTATTTATTTGGAAGAATAATGATCAAGCTACTGGGATGGCAAAATTAAGTCTTACATACATACAAAAATTAAAGCTGCCACTGGCCACATGTATTATATTTTCATATATATATATCTTTCAGTCGACTGCGATATAGTATACATTTTATCGGTGCGTAATCTTTTGTATAATAATAATATGTTAGGAATATATTCCGGTCAAATCACGCCGATCGTCTGGGAAATATTTCACGAGCTCAAAATAATATAATAATATTTATACGTATACCGAACACATAATATACTATATAGCAGTAGGTAGGTATATAATACTAGTATACCCGTTTCCGCAACGACTTGTTGATTGGTATTTACTATTTTTTTTTTTTTACTTCGAATGGTTTGGGTTCTCGACCTAGTAAGAACACAAATGATGACTCCCCTGCCTACACCCCCCCCCCCCTTCCGCCGACAGCATTAATATACTTAATAAGTAATTGGTATGCGGCTCGATGATGTGCTTATCTATATACTCGCATCTATACGTACGTATATATACCTATACATTATAGTACATAAGTAATGTAAGTATTGTAAGTTATGATTATATATATATAAAAACGAGCATTGCTTCAACTGTCTATACATAATACTATAATAGGCGAGGGTGGGAGACTGAAAGTATATAACCTACGTTATCTGCTAATATCTTATATGTATATATGCATGGATTATATTATTGGGCATGTTTAAATCTCGTAGGGTCTTAAAACGTTTCGTATATTAAGTTTCTGATATTTTCCTTTGGCTTGTCTACGATCATAATAATATACATTATGTATACACATTAAACAAACATACATATATATTATATATATTTCCGTTTTCCAAATCTCTGTAACTGCGGTAATGAGCGCATATAACGGGAGCACTGACAAGTAATAATGTGCACTTCTAAACCTCTAATATTGTGTGTAATATACCTACATTTATATATCTATGTATAATTATATATTATACCAACATATTCGATGACATTGTTGCATATGTTATGTACCCTAAAGTATAATGTAACAAATGGATTAACGCGATGGCGATCGTTTTTTAATTGTTTTGTGTCCTAAGACATTTTTATAAAAATACTTCTATACTATCATTTTGAAAGGAGGAAATATGAATTTTTGAATCCTCACCCCTCATCCCTCCGTCAACACGCTCCTGTGCTGCAGCAGTGACAGGATTTGCGAAAATTGTACAGTCAGTCTTCGAATCTGGTGGGAGGAGGAGATCAAAGTGTGTAACGTCCCCTCTCCACCTATCGCTCGGTCTTACTCGCGATGTATATAGGTGTTATAGAAGATTAGTCTATACTCTATAAGAACTAAATAATTCTTAAAAATGGATTTACATAACTATCTGCAGTCTGCAGATACATATTTAATACTGGATGTAGTAGTATTTATAGTATTCATTAAATACTCGGATAATGTTTACACAATTTGTAATACAAATAAAATGTTGATAGATTAATGTTAATCACTTAAATCCTCAAATCATTGCACAGCATCCATACCTATCGAACCAATTATCGTGAGACTTTATTATGCTCTGATTATGCTTAGAACATGAAGTTAAATAACTCGAAAGCTACTCGTTTGAATTTCGATTTATATTGGTACATCGACATTTAAAAAAGAGTCATCTGATAAACTTACAAAGAAAACAGTGTGATTCTCATATTTGAAAAAAAAGAAATTGATATCACCCCACCTGCAGGTCACTCTTCAAGAACTTATTTTAAATATGATCTGCAAAAATATATTATACTTGAAAAATCAAAAAATCATAAATCCATTAATAAATGAAAATATAGGAATGAACATTGCTCGGCGAGTCACTCGGTACATCACATATTCGGATGTTCATATTCCCATTACGAGTTTCGTATTCAGTAATTACTGCGATATTTGAGTACCTATATGGCTATATAATAAAAATAATATACAGGTAGTTTAATCGCCGCCGAATTATGTAGAACGACGAGATCTGCCTGCCAGCAACATAATACACGTATACACACATTATATATTTAATAATAATATGACGTGTATATTATTAAACTATTATCGTACGCGCGTGTTCCGCCGCGGGACAGTGACCCTTGAGCCGCGTGACTCCCGCGGTCGTACTTACCACTATTTTTTATATCGTCCCGGCCCGGAAGTGATTGCGCGGCCGGACTTCCGATATCTCGACGCACTATCTACACGCTTATATCGTTTCGACGACGACTACGGCCTGTGCACACCGATATATAAAATATATATGTATCGATAATACAATATAGGAAGTATAACATTATTGTTGTTCTTGTTGTTGTTCCGTAGTGAAATCTCTGAGCAAGGACTATGGCCGGGTGTGGAGGTTCCTCGGTCGAGGCGGATGAGGAGTGGGCGGCCTCGTGAGACACGTTTTCGCGGGCTCGCGCCGATAGACGATTACGATCGCGTGTGTGCACAACGCTGCGGATGTATAGGTATAACAACGACATTATACGCGACGAACCACCGTCCACCGTCCACCGTCCACCGCCATCGCATCCGTCGTCGTCGTCGTCGTCGTGACTGTCGATCGCTCGGCGCGGTGCGTCCTCTCTCTTTCTCATTAGCACACATATCGCGCAGCGGCCGCGGGGCAGAGGGCCTCGATATACGTACGTTTTCGCGATTTCGGTAGCGGACGGCCCCCGCGCTGAACGCCCGCCCCCACCCGGCGCGTTATGTAGGCGCCTCCGGCCCGCCGCGCGCACCGTCCACGATAATATATTATTATTATTATTATTATTATTATTATACGGGTATATGTGCTATATATATAATACGCGTTCACTCGCTCTCCTCATCTTCGTAGTCGTCGTCGCCGTCCCACTCTTTATCGCCGTCGCCGCCGCGGTTAGCGGAGTCGAGAAGATTTTTTTTATTATTTTCGTGGTCCGCGTTCACCGCTCTTACACACATTACACGCGCGTCAGCTAACGCACAAACACGCGCGCGCGCACCGCTCACCGGCCAGCTGCTATAGATCGCTCGATCGCTCGCCGCCGCCCTCGAACTCTAGATCGTCGTCGTCGTCGTATAAGACCACGGTACTCGCACGCGACATGCCCACACGGCCGATCGCCTGCACCGCCGACTGTCACCAAACGCAACTGTACCGTCGTCTCTGAGTCGACCGCAATAATAATACTAAATTATATTATAATTTAATATTTATTATTATAAATATAGAGGTCTGCCTGTCGCCGCTGAATCTAATAAGAGGCACAAATTATAATTTTTATTATTTAAACTACAAACGAAACGCGGCGGTACATCAACCAAACGACTGCAGCAACACGGGCGCGGGTCTCGCATAGACAACTGGGTCACGTCCACAATAAAAATCGTCTATACATATTAACGTCGTTCTGCGTCCGCGTTAACCGTCACGTAACGCCCGAAAACGTTAATTGCGACCGTTCGCGGTGGTATATTTTCCGTTTTTCGACGCGAGCGCGCGCACACCAACGGCCGCGGGGACCACTGTATTAGCTGCAACCGTCGTCACCGCGCGAGATTCGGACCCGGCTCATCACCGATGACAACGGTTTGACGTCACCCGATCAAATAATTCATTCACACAACGCGTCCACGTCCGTACAAAATATGGTAAGTAAAAGCCGAAAACAGCGTACAACACAAATTAATAAAATATATAGGTATTGTCTATTATGTATTTTATATTATTTATCAGTTTTTGTAAATGGAGTGTTTGCCGAGTGTGTCTCTATATCATTTGGACCTCTCGAGGTTTGTATGTCATAAGATATAGATGAATTTGTGTATTTAAATTCAAATATTATTGGATTTGGGCGATTTGGCCCATTTATTGAATTGGTCGGCCTGAAAAATGGATTGGGATTGCCAGAGTTGTCGTTTGTGCAGAGCTTAATAGAAATATTAAAGTTTTGACAAATATAAATTTAAATTATGACACTGGCTTTATTTATTAAAACATCCATATTACGAAGTCTCATAGCATGGGCCACGGTAAAAAAATCGTAAAATTATGTAAATAAATTTCGTTGAATTGAATTAAATTAAATATATAATAATTTTCTAAGTTGGTTTGGTTCTCAAAAAAATATTTTGTTAAACAGAACATTTTAATAAAATGTTTTGCTAAATGGAAGTTTGTTACATGAAAGTTTCACAGTGTACCTTCTATACTTATATAAGTATGTGGCTTAGTTATTTTTTCGTCTAATATCTGCAGTCTGCACTGCGGTAGGTACAGGTATACGTGACAAAAATTAAATACATAATTTAATTTCGGCGTGAAATTGCTAAATCCTCCGGTTTTGCCCCTTATATAGGCTAAGGCGTATAATTTCATAGTATATATATAGATAGATACAAAATGATTGTTATCGGTTTTGGTATTTCGTATGCAGAACTTGTGAGAGCACAATGGTGCAGCTCGGTATGTACCTAGATATATTGATTTTGAAAACGTTTCGACGTTAGGTATAATTTCCACTGCATTATTCTGAGAAACGAAGTGTAGCTTATATAAATAATAACTAAAAACGTGCGCAGTCAGTATTGAAAGCCTTGTCACTCATATACAAGACTACTAATCCGCATATTACATTAATTAAACACTAAGCGTATTATTATATTATATACGGTTACGCTTTAAAAACTGATGAAAATCATAGGCTGCTCAAGAGGAAGGTAGGCAGGCAGGCACTTTCGTGTTTAAAATCCTTGGCCCGATTCGTGCTGCAACTCGGATGTCGACGACGACGCAGACGACAAAACTTGTCGCTCGTTTATAATAATCATATAGGTATTCATCGAAACCGTCATAATAGTGATAATACCTACGACCTACCTCTCTCTATATAATACTTAATGCATTTATTATAAGTATAACGTTATAAATATAATAAATATAGTTCCGAGGAGAACAAAATGGTTTGGATATTATATGATATTATGATTATGTTATTGCTTATTAGGTATACCACAACCATACAACTTATAGTGTAGGCATGGTAGCATAATTAAAAACATCGTACGCTCTCAAATGTTCGACGATGACCTTATTCGTCGGTCGTGTATTTATACATTATATATTATAATATATGCTCTGAACGATTTACGTCGGGTGATTTTTGTTTGCAGTGTCATGTAATGTACATGAAGTTATATATTAAATAGGTTAAATATGTATATGCACAACAATTGTGACTAAGAGTGTTCACCCCAATTTTTTCCTTTACAATAATAACGAATTTATTCAATTTCTGACGTTTAGAATTTTTGCAAGTATAATAATTAATAATATAGCAGCGAGTCAACCGTTAATTATTTGTGTACCCATTAAGTACGCGGATGTAGAGGTACAGACTTAGATTTTTGTCAAACGAGAACCAACCTTTTTATTTAATCTTAAGCTGTTAGGAGTATGATTTTTTTTGAAAATGTTTATGAATCTTAAATATATTTGAATTCGATCGAGTAGTTCCCGAGTAATTCAAATTTATAATATATTATATTATATCTAATCGGTCGATTTTTACCAACTATAAAATATTGATCGATTATAATATCATACAATTATTATTAATTACAAATTGTAATTTACAAATCATCATAGCGCCCATATGATGTAATTTTCTAAACATACGAATTATCCTCGAGTCGAATAGTTCGAAAGCTACACTCGTTCGAATATCGATTCGAACTCATCTGGCTGTCCGCAAAACGGTAAAAGAGCCAATCGTGTAATTATTAGGAGAACATTTTTCTTTTCTCTTTTATTATTATAAATCCTCACAAACCATGGTTTGCACCGCGCGGGCTATTACCAAAATAATATATCTGTCGCCAGAGTCGCCAGAGTCGCCAGTTGTCGGCATCATTAAAAGTAAATTATTAAAAGAACAACAATTATTATTACTCGTTTATACCTAATAATATTGTTCGTGTAAGTGCGTCTCGGTCATCGGGCTCTGGCAAAGTATAATATTATAATACCAGCTATATCCAGTCGTCCCCGCGCGTTGCTGTACAAATAGACGCACACGCACACTAACACGTACACGCACACGCACACGTACACATACACGCACATACACACATGACGTTATAAACCTAATACACGTGTGCGGGACGACGAGATTTATAAACGCCGCAGGGGCGTTTGATCGTGCCGTATACCGCAGTACCTATGTACGATGACGGCTTTCTCCGTCGCGCGGGGTCAAAAACACTGTGTTTCGTATTTGAGCAAAAACCAACGGGTCGGCTTTCGTTTGCGGCACATTCGCGCCCGTAGGTTCGTGATGATAATAATAATATTATAACTATATACCGTCAATACGACCGAGATGAGAGCCCGAAAAAAAACAACTATAATACGCTTTTTTAATCGTGTGCCGAGATTATTAGCGATTTATTAACGATATGTACACCGTGGGTCGGGTTCTTCTGCGTTTCGCATGCAGTGCCTAATTCCCTATTTTATTATAATACAGTCTAGTCTCGATAACTCGAATTTCAGTAGGCTATAGGGGAATAAAAATTAATTCCAGTGATTTACCTCTTAAAGGCGGCTCAAACACGACTCAAGAAACCCTCGAAGAGACCAGAAAAAAAGTTATCGAGGTTCGACTGCATATTTATTCTTTTTTTTCACATGACTTGCAATAAGTTATTATGTGATACCAAAATACATATCCGTAACGTGAATCGCTTAATAGGGGAAGTCATCATTATCAATCTGCAATACCCACGTATAAGTTTAGAGTATGTTATTATCTATAATTGCTGGTATATAGGAGGGAACAAATTTGTGTTTATTTTGTCAGAATACAGTCACGATTGCAGTTTCTTTTTGATTTGCAAGTACAGGGGTTACAACTCAAAAGGCATGATTATTATTTATTACTTATCGAATTAAATGGTTATGATCAATAAGCAAGTTTCCTTTGAAAACGCTTATAACGTAGTTTTGCGAGTTCATTCGACGTTCGTATCTGTAATTCTTTGGGTAAGGCTACACCGGGTGGGGGGGAGGACTTGCCGGTTAGAATTATATTTTGGAACTTTTGAATGGGACATAGATATGTCTGAGCGTGTAGCCGGGACCCAGATTTAAATAGCATAGAAGGTAATAATATGTACACTACACTTTGCTCAGCACAGTGTCAACTTAAGATCTAGGACTATTTTACACAATAAACAAGGAGTGCTACGATTATTATTATTTTACATATTTATCAACAGGCATACAAATGATATACCTGCCGAATATAAAATATAATTGCTTAAAGCGAAAAAGAATTATGGTTAACACGGGTACACAGCCACGCCCTAGCACCCCTCACTATATCAACAGCCCCCCTGTCAATCTGGCCCACCCGGTTTGTGTCAATCAGATTTTTTTGAAAATCGTCATGCCCCGTGTAGTGGAGTGTACGCTTTGGTCTACAACATGGTACCACATATTATATTTTCGATTATAGCAGTCATGTTAACTGATTTTTTTTCGTTTTCGTTGTTTTGTCTATGAATATCTAGATATCCAAAGGTTCGTCAAAGACCAGGGTGCCGGACGGTTCCCCCACCCGGTCGACGGGCGGTGACGTGAACAACAACGGTCCCACCAAGTGTATGAACGGTGCGTGCGGGGGCTACGGTCCGTCATCAGCAGGTGGCGGTGGAGGTGCCGGCGACAGTCCAGCCGCCCAACCTCGACGAGTCCAGGTCACCGCCAAAATACTGTTCGGCTCGGTGAACGCCATATCGACGATGAAGCAGAACGACAAGCTGCACAGGAAAAAATCGCAATGACCATCGTGTGCGCCGGTACAGCAACAGCGACGACGACGACGACCTGCGCACCGTCCGCCGCCACAGCCGCCGACTTGGGCCCAACAACGGAGGCAGCACCCCAGCGGCCCGCTACGCGGTTTCCGGCGGCGGGGCGAGAACGAGGTTTGATATTTTTCGTTTGTCTATAAAACATTTTCCAAGTACAATTTGCTTGCACGAGTAAATATATTTTACATGTTTATCGATAGCACATTTTCTAAATTTATATTGGGAAAACCATATAGTTAGTATAGATAATAACTATTTATGGTATTTATTAGGTCTTTATGCTGAAAATCTCCGGTCAATATAATTGCTACTGCTTACTTATTAATATTTTTTGGTTTCGGACAGTCCCTGTTATGGTCTACTTGAGCGAATGTATACTTACGTGGTTTTCATCTCCCAAAACATAAAGACGGCGTTTTGTATAGGCATTTTATGTACATCCGTGAGTTCCAATGACTCGTACAACAGCGATGATGACGTGTACTATTGTATGCTCCGAGAAAGCGAATTTATTTCAAATTTCATATATTCCATTACATTGCTTAACGATTGCCAATGTCAGTCGACGAGTGATTTATCAATATTGAGATTTTCTTATGATTCATAAGTATGTCATTAGAAAAAAAATTTAAGCACCCGGTCATGAATTTGTTTTATAAATATTATAGATTTTTTCATTGTCAAAAATGCGTTGAAACTTAAAGAAAAATCCACACCAAATTAAATCTGACACAACAATATGTACACAATGGTGAAAAAACAACATTACTTTTTCAAACCGATTAAATGATTAAGTATACATTTATTTTTGAAACCGATTAAAAATACAGACTTCTTTTCGGATTGATTCTCGACAATATTGTTGTAACACAATATTACGGTAATTATTTTGAAAGTTTTCGAAGCGTAAATCAGTATACCTATGGAATACTATATGGTAATCGGTATCTGGATTAAATTAGTATCGTACAAATATTATTGCCAATTGCTAAGACTCAACGACGAGTAACTAATGTTATCTATACATAGACACACACACATTCGCACGAGCTCGCACGAAGTACATAATATACGCGTTTATAGATATAAATTGAATAACTATACATGTCGATTGTTAAGAGAAAAAGAAAAATTCGTTCCTTACGGGTTGGTATACGGCGAGTGAAAGGCAATTACCGTCGCCTTGTTGACGTGAAAATCCAATACGGAAAACCGACGGAAAACTCGTCGCAGTCGTCTGCATTTTTGTATATATACGATGTAATATTATCCCGAACAACCGGATGATGGTGGGCCGTCTGTATAAATAACACGCGTACACGCGCATAATAGAAAGTTACGATATAATAATGTCACCGTTAAATGATTTTTAGATCATTTATATTTCGTGCGTGCGTCCGCCACCCGTCGTCGTCGTCGCCGCCGCCGCCGCCGTTAAAACGATTTTAACGCACGCGCTGGTTAACGATTTCAACTTTCACGGCTCATTTGAATATCAATTAAAAATATCTCGCGAATGTCACGCCTCGTGAGATCGCATATCGCGCGCGGCGCCGGTCCGTTTGCCGTTCGGCTGCTGTATCTGGGTATATGATAATGTACTGCGGTATAAAAATGTATATATAAGGCTATTATTTATTCGTCAACTGGAGCGTACATAGGTACTATATGTAGACACAGGCGTACCACCTACCTACCTATACGTAAACACGGTTGTGGTTAGAGAAAGTCCGCGCCGCCGTTATCGGGCAAGCTTAAAAAATAAATAAATTCCCCACATTAACGTGCGTATGAAGGTATACCTCCTATATAATATGACATAATCCGTCGAGGATGCAATGCTGCTTGACCGTTTTTCTTTATTTTCAAATGGTTTCTCTTTCGTCTCTTGCAACGCGAGGAGAGAATAATATGGATGTATATGATACACATCATAAGCGTGTATACCTATTTGTACTATTTTTTAGAAATTTTAAGCTCACCCTCACGGCTCACATCCTAATCCTGAAACTCTCAATTGGTAGAGGTGACCACCATATACACTGTACAGACCATAATATATGCGCGATTAAAAATTAATACTCACGTTATAAAAACGTGTCTTGACTCTTGATAATATAACTAAAGTTATTGTGTACAACATAATTATCTAAAATCGGAATATTATTCGAATTGGAAAATGATAAAAAACCATTGTGATCTTCACATTATACGTAGACATCGCATATTATAACATAATATGTTTGTTTGACGAGTATCCTCGACCCTCTGAGGGCTAGGTTCAAAACTTACCTATTACAATATTTTACAGGGAGCTTATCTTTTTAAAATTAAGATTACATACTTATATTAAAATAAACTAACAATCCCCTTACACTATTTTATGTATGAAATTATAGAACTATATATTGACTCCAAAAATAGACTAAAATTGATTTCAATTTTTAAAATAATAACAAATCGTTCCAATACTGCAAAGTACCTATACCATAATAATATTTCCTTATCAATCAATTAATTACTTAAGGAGGGGTATGGAATTATTTGAGAAGGGTTAGGGCTAAGCTTTTATCTGGCTATGCTTCGAGTGTATAAACTATACTGAACTACTGAAGATATATATCTATACCTATTAACCTATAATTATAGACGAGAAACGTATATACGTATACTTAAGTCGTATAGAAATAGGAAAAGCACTCTTTTATTTTTTATTATTCGTAGACCCTGCAGAACAATATAATTATAAGTTGTAAGTTTAAAACTACTATATGCACATTTTCTAATTTTCATTGACATCGGCACACGTTTAATATGTTAATAATTATTATATTGGCATCGCAAACAAATTACATTAAATTTTTGTCTTAATAGTCGTTGATGATAATGTAATTAGAACTTTTCCTATACTCGACGTGTGGTCTTTTTGGTAATGCACTAATGCCACAGTAACGCTAGGTGGCATAAACAAACATTTAAGGAATGAATAGTGAATCTAATATAGTCCATTAGGTAGGTAAAGGTTAGTATAGCTTAAGATACCTTAAGTCCTTAAATATGATTTGGTGACCAATGATTGGTGTTTTAGTAAACTATTTTAATTTGTCCAATTTTGTATGCGACTGCAGTTAACAAGCATAACACTATTAATATGTGGAAGTGCATATCGTACACGCGAAACCGTTTCAAACCGTTAAAATTTGAAGTTTCAATAGAATTCTATGTCTCTATATTTACATACATACTATCATTGTCATAGTGCTGCAGTATAAATATTATACTAGATAAAAAAAACCATAGCTCTAAGAAAACGTATAAAAGGTATATTTGATTCTCATCTTGGCCATGTTCAATTGACTTTCTCTACCAACAATATCTACCTACAATATTATGTTTGAGGCACTAAGTCAACATATTTTACGTGATCTGTGCAGTGGGTATGCTGTAGTGCGCGTGTGTGTATAGTGTTTGTTTAAGGTCCTTTGGGTTCGCACGCACCATACATCATTGATCATACTATCATAGTGAAATCAGAAGCGCGCGTTTTTTTTAATGTTTACGCATTGGTGTGCACTGTGTGATATAATAATAAGAATAATATTATAATACATCCATTCATTTTCTTTCTTCTCTCTCCCTCTCTCACTCTTCTCTTCTTTTCGGGTCTTGACGGGTGTGAAATTTGACGTTTCACGATTTCTCTGCTTTCTTCCGTCATCGCTCGTTAAAACGTAAGACGACAAATAAGAAAATAATGAGGAAAAAATGCGTATACGAAATTAGCATGTATATAAAACACCAGCGGGTGGGTTTGCCGTCGCATTCAGTCGTCACCATTCATCGACGCTGCGGCGGCGGCAGCTGCTCAGTCGCGAGATTAGTTTATTGTCCTAAGTATCATTTATATTAATAACAATAATTACCAGTTATTAGACGAAAATACTAATTAAGCTAAATAATAATAATATATCGATGACTGCAGCTGATACTGGTCACGGACTCGTGGTGTGCACTTTTTATAGTTATTATAACAAATGTGTTTTAAGTTTTTTAATTGTTGTTTAATGTTGATTTTGTTTTACAGTTAATTGAAACGCCGTGGAAATCGCAACAGTCTCGCTTTTGCTGTACACTACATTATATGTGGACCAATTGGGATTTTCATTTATTTTCAAAAACAAACATATCTCATTTTATTTTCTAATAAATAATTGTTCATATAATACAAATATATATGATGTATATAATACGGATGAAGGTATGTAAAATATCGCTCTTATGTCGATTATTATCGAATTTTATATGACGATTGACGAGGTACTGCAGTTCTATATACTTTTCGTGCAAAAAAAATTTAGTCAACAACCACGATCTTTTCGATAGCTAATTCCACTACAATGTACATAACTTATTTATTCGATTAATATTTTTAGTTAATCAATTAATTTAATTTAAAAATTAAAAACTAAATTATTTTAAATTATGTAGCGAATTTTTACTATATTTAAAAATATAATATAATTTATATCAAAAATGAATATAAGCTATAGTGTATCTTAGGGTACTTGCTAATGTGGATTCTTTTGTAGATAAATTATTGTTTTTTTTTTTTAAACATGGCTGTGATAAAATAATTTTTGCAATCCCTATATTTTTTCCCACCTGCTTTTATCTAAAATATTGTTTTACAAAAACTCCAACGTAGGACTTTTAAAATTTCAAGGCCGGCAAATTAACTTTTTGTTAAAAAAAACACATACTCAAAATTTCAATTTATTGTTTTTCAATGCACTATACATAAACATGATACATAAAACATTGTTATAAGCCACTATACTGTACTTATTTCATATATACCTTTACTACTACGACATATAATATGCAAGCATACAACTTAACCACGTACTAACAACACCTCATTTTTCTTCGAAACTGTATAGTGTATACAACTATAATATTGTGTATTATGATTTTATGAATAAACCTACCTATTAAATATTATATTATACATATTATATAACTTATACGTATTCTTAATATAATTTTGTACATCGACAATACTAATCAATATAATATGAATCCTGTGGATTTTTATTTTATAAAAAACAGTATTTACTAACGTAACTATACATATTACATAGGCACATAGCTTATTAACATTGACTCTACTTTACACGTACTTGCTGTATAAATAAATGTATATTTTGCTTAACTCATTGTGTTGACGACTTTTAATACCTACTCAAATTTCAATTTGTCTACAGATATTTTATGCATACAAATAAACACAATATTTTTATACCTTTACGGTTATACGGCGTGACTTTATAACTTCTATATTAAATATTTAGGTATTTTAAATTGTACTATTATTATATTTTACTCATATACCTACTATATGACATCAATAGTTTTACAAGATCAGTGTTTAAAACCATATTGTACCGCTTACCAATTTAACATTAAATACAACAATTCAAATGTAACTCTCAATCTAAAGTTATCTAAACATATAAGTTATATGGAATAACAATAAATACGAGTATACGACTATTATTGACTATAAACTTGACTACTTCAGTACTTGACGTATACACACGAATTAAATTGAAATACAAGATTCAAATTACTGCATATATAATGTATATATTATATATGTGATACTAACTAATAACCGTAATAATCAATCAAACGAATTATGTTATGAATATTTTATTTTCAACCTTATACCTATATAACTGCAATAGTTACAACCTAAACTTACAACGAATACAAGCAAAACTATTTTTGAAAACATGTACCTACCTATAACGGACATTTTCACTCCTGATGACGAAAATAATGTACAACTTACACATTTTACATGTTCTTATTATAATATTTTGTAGGTATTACCTATACCTATAACAACATGGAATACGGATGACCTGCACCTGATAATATTACAATCTATTACGTATATACTATAATAGGTATATAACTACCACGATGATGGATTATAATTGCAGTATAGCACATCTTTAAAGCGTATTCAATATTCACTATTCGATATACTGCAGTAGTTATGTCTTAAGAGCCCCTTCTCTAAAAAAGGGAGATTTTTTTTTAAAATTATACTTAAAAATTAAAAAGATCAGGTGTATTAAATGTCCATTACCTATTAAAGAATAAAATCGAAGTGAGCATCATGCTTGGTGAATCACCTTTTAAATTATTCGCTAATGAATGCATTATAATTATATTCAGAATATAACAATATATAGTTATAACAATTATACATACATAGTAATGCAGAATTCGGTAGTTCATCTACGCACACGTCAATGTTAATTTACTGACTTTGTAATTTCACTTTGGGCTTTCACTTAGATCCCAGTTCCCCTCTTCCGACCGTGTATAGAACGCAAAAATGAAAACTTAGATAGAAAGTGGGTCGCAAGGTCATTAACATGTGTAAGTAGATTTCCACATGAGCTATTTTTATCAATTTAAAGCGTACCTACCTATATGGTATCATATACATTCATATATATACTTATTACATATTATACAGATAATAGGTATACATTTCGCGTGTCTTAGGTACCTATTATAATAATATTACAATGGGACAATATTTTTTTACTCATTGTAATATATTTCCTGTTTTGAGTTTTCTATTAAACGGACTTGAGTATGATATTATGCGGGTGGGCGTTTTTATCCATATATAAACTCACTCGTACGACACACAAACTTATATAATTGATTATTGAATGTCTATCTAAATCTCACCCAAACAATTTGGGATTTTAGGAATTTCCCACAGTTGAAAACCACCCTAATAAGCACATTATATATTATTATTATATATTTCTTAACAATTTAATATGAAATTATTATGCTAGCCTATTTTTGGCGTTCACCACGCAGCCGCCGAACGGAAGAATACAAACGTATCTATTATAACCTATACGTATACATGCCTTAATCTATACGACCAAATGACGACAACTATTTACCTAATGTTAAAACAAAAACGACATATCTTATCCACTTACTCTAAATTTGAACATTTACATCTACATCTACATTTGGACAACTGTTTTTACGACTAATACCAACGTGAATTGGAATCACATTTATGTATACCATCAAATACAAATATATACTGCAGGAACTTTTTAAAAGGTACTTTAAACAGTAAACATTCATTATGAAAATATTATTTTCACATAACCTGAGGTCATTACACGACTTTAATTTCAAACCCGTTTATATTTTTCAAGTTGATGAATGTTTTTCGATGAAAGAATTTAAGAACCACCCTGTAAGCTATTATGTATGTATATATGGTATTGGTATACGTGGACACATGGACATGGGTACATGGCTACAAATATAACTTATATTTTACAACATAAACAAAAACATTACTATATTTACTAATACATAATATTATATGATATATTTATATATTTTAAATAGTTTAAAATAACAACAATTTACGTATTGTATCTAATATTGGAGAAAAGATATTGATTAATTTTTCAGTTATTTTTGTTATTGGTACATAGGTACAATGATACTACATTTTTAAGTTTACTACAAGCAATTTTATTTATATTTGTATAGATAATTACTGTTACTCAACTCAACGATTTAACATATAAATAAAAAACATTTAAATATACGACACTCGAATGTACATAACTATTTTATATACTTAACAGAAATACTCAAAACAATTTATTATTGTTTATTACTTTACAAAATGCTAAGAGTTTAAAAAAAATAACAGCCTGAACAAATTAACAAAATGCAACGTATATGTTCAATCTATATTGAATATCTTAATACTTACATATTACATATTTAGACGTAACATTTTAACTTTAACCGACTGAAAACGGTCAACACATTTACTCTATAATCTATAGACATAATAGATAATAATTATGTACAAATAGGAAAAAGGTGTTTCTAAAAATGTACCCATGTATAAGTAGGTATAACAAATCTATAAAGTATTTTTATTGTGTTCAAATTCTGTGGAAATCTAATGAATGATTAGGTAACAATTAAACTTACAACTTATAAACTATTTGAACTACACCCGTAGGTACCTACTTTATTGCTCTTGAGTCTAGACCATCGAACCAGTCTATATTCTATAGTAAGTAACCAAGTAGGTGAGTACTAACAAGTAACAACAAACATCACGATTATTCATATCATACCATACAACTATAGTCTATAACTTATAAATTATTAAGTAGGTACTTACACTGATTACTACACACCTACTACCTAGTACCTACTACTTACCTACGACCTACACAACAACCAACATGATATTACCTATAGGTACTATTTAGATACAAACCAACTCACGCAGCAAGTAGGTACCTGCGTTCTATATACCTACACTTATACAAATGGACAGTGTCGAATTATCAAGACAACTATATTAAGTATTTATATACTAATACAAACATTATGACATATTGTAGGACAATAATAATGTACGACAGAAATCTCGTCTATTACAATATTATACTTCAATAAGTATATAAAAATTGAAGACTTCTGAGCCAGATTAAATTGCGTTGAAATCGCAACTCAAATTGTAATTATTAATAATGAAAAGAATAACTGCATAAATATACTTAACAACTTACCCACAGCTTACAACTTAGAAACAAAACATTTAACATTCAATAAAGAAGGTACCTTATATAGTAGGTACTTACCTACCTATTATGTTATAAAATATAAGTTATAGGTATCTAACTTGTAACGGCTATATAGAATCAAGTGATACTAATAAGACAACTTAATATTAGTTTATTACACAACTGATGCTTTATTTTGTACTAGAATATGCGTTATATACTTATATATAATATAGATTTTAGACAAAAGACATATCCAATAATATAATAATAATAATATACGCCTATGACCTATACCTTAATACTTATACAATATGTTTAAAAATAAAAATTTATCAAAAGCATTATTTTGATTTTTTAACCTGTAAGGTATAAAAACTATTTTTGGTATTTTAAATGCATACATTCCCACCCCTAAATAACTTTTTGACGACTAATTTATTACCTACATTTGATGAATTTACATATCTCATAAGTTCTCTTAAGTCTTAACTATTCTTCCGAGGACCAGAAGTTAGGTTCTTACGAAATAACACATTTAACTATTTCATTCGTCATTCACAATTAACAGATACCTATATGTACCTACTCAACTCAACTGAACGTCTGAACAACTAACCAATTATATTTTTCAACAAACCAAAAACTAGTTAGGTACTTTACATATTCTACAAGTCCAACTCAACATTTAACAATAACTATATATTCAAATAAACAATATAAATTAGATACGTGGCCGCATGGGGTATGTATAACTATAGGTAACAAGTTTGACTATTAAGTATAAACTATTTTTTTTTTTGATATAAGGATTTAACTAAATAATACAAATCACAAAGAACCAATAGGTACTTATATATCAAAATATACATGCATACATACATACATACATACATACACACATACATACATACACACATACACACATGTATGCATACAAATATACATACATACAACATACATATATTATACATATATACATACAAACATACATATATACATTATACATACATACATACATACATAGGTACACAAATATACATACATACAACATACATATATTATACATATATACATACAAACATACATACATTATACATATATACATGCATACATACCTACTTATAACCTAACTTAACTCTTAACTTGACTATTTAAAGAAATTTTAGGTATATTTACAATGAAACTACAAAATGATAGTTTGTATAATACATTTACATATTATAGTATTATGTGCACATTTGTACAACTAACATGACTATTGACTACTGATTAAAATAATATTTGCTCTATCAATCTCAGTTGGTATAGTATTACATTGAGACAAATACCAATAGAAATAATACCTACATTGATCATAGAAATTTTGATTTTAATATTTTTACAAACTTCTAGGATAATAAAAACTATTTATGTGTACACATTTTTGGATAAAACTATTAAAGTATACTTAAATTTTAAATACTTTCTAACAACTACTACTTATTGGCTATAGATACCTTTATGTTAATAACCTGTTAGTGTTTAAACATACTCTATTACTACATAGTACCATCAACAATAATTTTTAAAACATAAATACTCTTTTTTCTTTTTGAACGAAGGAAAGAGAGACTGTTTAAGCACTTTAAGCCCTACTGGTTTCGTGGCTATTACCTACTTACCCTACAATCTTGACAACAACAACCTAACTTCACGAAACAACTAACAATACTATCATTACTTACATTTTATTGCAAACAATGTACATGGGAATATGGGATACAAACGTTGATATGTATACTTTGACTAAATACATTAAACATAGGGATAACATTACAAGTACCTATGACATTGCAATACATCAATACATCAAGCAATGAAAAAATCGCTGTGAATATACAACATATTTTAAAATCAGTCATGATTTGTAATTTTTTATTTAATTTTAAACATCTCATTTATTTTAAAGGTAAATTATAAATCACTAATAATAATATTATGTAAATTTTATAAAACAAAATAATAAAACATATTAATCATTATAATTTACAAAATAAACCTCTGTGACCTCTATAACTCATAACAAAAACTGCATTATGACTACATTACCTACACGGCTACTCAACGATATTTAGACACGACTACACAAGTGAGTAAGTGACCATTAACAACAATACCTCACGGTTAACACTTCATTTTTAATTACCTATCAGTGCTATCACAACACATAGTTTTAAATTTAGTTTGTTAATTGGACTTTTTTCAAACATGTATGTACCTATCTAACGCAACTATATTGATGTACAAATTAATTCACATTGATTTAGGAAACAATTCCCAAACTGTAGGTTACCCAATCATTTATTATTACATATTTTGTTTAATAATATAATATATTATTAATTATATTATGGTTTATTATAAATGTGTGATGCTTAAATAAATATTTGTAGGTATTACAAATACTAATTTACACTTAGGTACCATACAACATAGGTTATTTTACAGAAACATAACCAGGGTCTAAAGTGGGAAAAAATTCCAGTGGGGACCAGTGTCTCCATATAGTTCTAAGCATTCCATATATAATTGTATGCATAATGTCTTAAATCCTAATTTGTTAAAGGAGATGCTTTTTAACCGTCTTCAGAGAAAGGGGGACTGGGTCCTCCTGCACTCCCCCCTCCCACTTTAACCCCTGAATATAACACATATTTAATTGAACAATAACTAATTTTTTACTATCAACAAACTAATTTGAAGGTACTTAATTTTCAAAATAAACTTAACAGATAATACGTTTACATAATTGTAGCAACAAAAATAAATCTCTATTCTGATAATGAACAATACCTATCTACAATATTACATACAATTGCCAACAGACCAACTGATTTAACTCGACTATCAACATTTACTTCTAAACATTGTATGTCAATTTTTACTGTCTAATTTAATACTACCATTATAACTTTTTCAACTACCACTTACCTATATTTTACAAATATAAGTTAAAATGCTGGCCATTAATATTAAAGAATTTATTTTTTTGACGAACTATTTAAACATTTTATACCAATTACTAAAGTTACAACAAAAATTTTGTTTGTGAATGTTTTACTATTTTTAAAGATTGAGTAGGTATATTGTTAAGTTTACTAGCAAAATACTAACGACACATGTTTAGTATTACTCAATGTAAATGTCAATATTTATTTAAATTATGACATCATGTACTATTTGCATAACCTTTTGCTACCTATTTATAAAAACCAATTTTTTAATTGTAAAAACTATTTATAAGTTAAATTTGTAAGCAAATACATATTATCTACCAATTCAAATTCAATTCAGATTTGAGTAATAACATTTTATTTTATTATTGACTACTGTAAACTTAGATTGTGAATTTGTATAAGCATTATTCATATATCATAATATTACGTTTAGTATTTTTCACTTTCAGGGTATTATTGTTAAATAGATAACTAACATTGACACCTAATATTACAATCATTTTAAGTGTAAGTGAGATACCTACAAAATGGAAAATGGTGTGGTTTTTACCAACATTATGTATTTTATTTTAACTATATATTTATATCATGTAACATTATTGACCTTTGTATAAATTCTCATATTGAGGTCATACTTTTTGAAATTATTTATTATGTATTGTTATTTATTTAATGAAAATAAAAAAAAAACATTCAAAATATGAATAAAATGATTTTAATTTATTTATTTTATAAAAAATTACATAATAAACACGACATTTTATTCTTACACACAATATTTTTTTTTTTGGTTTTAACATTTCATAATTATAATTACATACATTTAATTGTGTATAAACATAGATTTAATTTATTGATAATAATGATTTTAATTTTTCATCCGAACACATTTCTAGTGCAGTAATTCCATCCTCGTCTTGAATATTAATTTTTGCACCCACACTAACCAAATATTTGCATATATCTTCATGACTACAAGATACAGCATAATGTAAAGCTGTTTGGCCCGTATTATCTTGAAAATTAACATCAGCTGAATGATTTTCCACTAAAAATTTCAGAATTTCAAAATCTCCACGATCTGAAGCCCAGTGAATTGGTGCCATTCCCATACAATCGTGAACATTTATGTTACCTATATAAGTCTTTATTTTGTTTAAATTTCCTTCTTTAACCCAATCACTGATGGTTTTTTCGTTTTCTGACAGTGGTTGTTCATCATTGGCAAACGTACTTACTGTCACCCATCCAGTTTTTTCTGTTTCTATGTTTGGATTTATAGTTGTTACTAAATGTATGTATGATGTCATAGCTTCTTCTTTAGACATTGAACCCATATCAGACCAGGCATACCATTTTTTACGGCCTTTTAGATCATATATTGGAGGTTTTGGTAGAGTACATATACCTTCCATTGCTTGCTTATAAAATCCATACAGTTTAAGCTGTGTGTCAACATCAGATAAATTAGACCCAGAAATATAAGAGACAGCTTTATCAAACTGAGCAGATAAATTTTTAGAATTAAAATCCATTACTTACTATATTATATTATACTAATACCTAGGTCTATTATAAAAAAAAACAGGAATTTTGCTTGTAAGAAACAACAATTATTGATAATCAGCTGTTTTAAGAATCAATGTTTGCCCGTCTAATTCATGTTTGTCATTGTTTAAAACACTTTCGTATCCACCTGGTGTAGAAAACTGAACGAATCCGTAGCCCTTCGACAAACCAGTAGAGTGGTCGAACAATACGTCTGCGGTAGCAACGTGGCCGAATGATGCAAAATATTTACGGAGTTCCCGGCTGCTGACTGTCCACGGCAGATTCCCGACGAAAAACTTTGTCAATTTTGACATTTTATATAAAACAATCTGATGAGAATGTTGAACGAACTTTGTAGATATTATGTACTGAAAGGAACACGTTTTTTTTTAACTAATGCTCAAGCGATACACCGATAGTGCAATGCCATATTATTCCACCGACAAAATTTAGACTTTGCTGATAAGTGATAACACATCAGCTGTTTGATGTTTCTAAAATGCAAGGAAGTTATAGAAAAATAAAATGTGTAATTAAAATCATCGACCATAATAACTCTTTGTATTTTTTTTTATTCAAATTTTGTTTCGACAAATAATGATTTGGCGGCCTTAATGTATTGGCTTAAAACTTGAGAGTAAATTTTAAAAATTTAGAAATTGTAATATTTTTTTTAGAATTTTTCAGTATAACTGTTATAGCTCGACAATTGCAGTGCATAGGTACATGATAATAAAAGTAAATTAAAATTATTTAATCATCTTTATTAGATTCTGAGAGGAGCTTTGAATGCTTTTTAATATCCACCAATATGGCTGTATGTTCAAAGTTTCAGACATTTCATATACCTATCTATTATAATAATAATAACAATATATTTATATGTATCTGTACAAGGTCGGACATATTATTAATCCCACCCACTTACAATTACTATTTACTTTTATACTTTTATAGTATACCTACTTACAGATGAATATTGTTATGGTATAACTCTCAGAATAAATTTAATTATTTATTTACAAATAAGTAACTTGGTACTTGTGTCATTTATTTTCGGGAAACTTTCCAATTTCCTATAAATACAAAAATACCTCTACCCACATGGATACTAAATCAAGGGTCTATTGGATATTTAAAAAGGGATCCAGTCTTCGTATTATACATTAAAATGTTTTTTTTTTTTTATTATTAATGAGATTTTAACATATAGTTATAATATCTCGACAATTATGTACAAGCATTAAAATGTTAAAAGTTACAAAATGCAAAAAGTTCCTATTACGTCTTATACTCTTATATAGTTATGTAATATCATTTAGCCATATGCTAATATAATATATTGATTATTATAATCAGAATTAAGTATAATACATTTAATGGTAATAATATGTGGTTATGTATATTGTATATAAATATACCTAAGGTAGGATCAGTGGTCGAAATGGCTCAAGATAAGTGGAGGGATGCCTTACAATTCAGATTTAGGCCTATACGAAAAATAAAAAGTTTTCTTACACATAGGTTTAAATATAAAAATCATAATAATTATTTAATTTTAAAACACAAGTCTTAGGAGGAATGCGTTAGTCTAGACAAAATAAGTAGAGGGATGAAAAATGTAAGTACAAAAAAGTAGAGGGATGTCATCCCTCCGTATCCCCCCTCCACTTCGACCACTGGGTAGGATAAGATAAATGAGGAAAATTGGAATTTACGTACGATCTAACACAATAATGAGATTTAGTAATTCATGTCATTCATCATGTACATTCAATTATATTGTCCACTAATATAAGGGATTTTTAAATTATTTGATGTATTTGATAATAACGATTCGTTATTTTAATTTTATTAAAAAAATATTAATTATAGAAACTAGAAACATTCCAAAAATATTCTAAAATTATCATTTTTTTAAATTGAATTCAAGATTCCTCATAAATTCTACTTATAACAATTTAAAATTATCGAAAATATATTTTATCTGTAATTGTTTGAAGTTCAAATTATGATATTTTTCCTTGGTTTATTTTTATTTTTTATACCATCACCTTGGAATTTCCCAAACCTTTTTGACTGTTTGTATATATTTTTTTTAATAATAATTTTTAGGAATCGTGTTTTGCAAATATCGTATGAGCTTATACAATGTGAAATCACTAATCATTGCCAATTACTAAATTACAATATTATGATATAAATATAATATTATATTGACAATAATATTATCACCATGTTTAATCAACAATCCCTATTTGTGCTTTTCAAAAGGCTACATGTTTTTTTGTATATCTTGCAAATAACATAAATATATAACACAACGTCTATGATCATATTAACTGTACAATATTGGACCTAAGAAAATTTAACGAAATTACTTTTATAAATGTGTGATCAAATAATATTTATTATAATATTATGTACTTCAGTTAATTGATCATATTTTTCGTTCGAACAACATAACAGTCTACAATAAAGATATTTCAGGAAACCATGTTTAACTTGTTATTTAATTAGATATACACTATTATAAAATACGTGTAACTGTCTAAGTTGTAGGTGCATACTATTATGCGGTCAACGGCATATTCCAAGAAGTGTCGTACGCGACGAGCAGTGTACCTAGGATTTTAGACCTTCTCCGGCTTCATGAAACTGTGTCTGTGGCGTTTACTCTGTTTACATGGAAACTATCTTACTATCTAAAAGACCATACCCCGTAATATCTATATCTTAGTCTCATTGTTCTATTGTACCCGCATTTGTGTGCAGCTTTTATCTGTTCTTTTATACAAGCAAAACCAACACTAAACTTTCGTTTGCCATCCTCAGAAATATCAAATCTGAATTCGAATTAAGGAATTAAGAATAAATTAAGTACTTCGGATTAAGAGGAAAACTACTCTACCTATCTATTACACATTTATGCTTACATAATGTTATATAAGAACACACGCTTGCACTATTCACACGCCGAATCAAATTTTTAAATACATACATTTTTTATGTACCGACTGTTTTTGTGTTCATATTCATAACTCAACACTTACACATCATCCAATTAAATTCCGAATTTCCAAGCCACGAATTACCAAAAATAAAAGAGCAATCGTATTCGATTTCTGTTAATAATCGATGCTGTTAAGCTAAGATAAATTCGAACTCAATATACACATTTATTAGGTACTCATCTATATATTACGTACTACGGTCAGGAAGCTCTTGTCGTTATATGTATAAGACCTTTAAAGTAATATGTAAATTAATTAATGAAAGTAATATTGTACTTTGTAAATTGTAATACTTAGTAAGTATGGGATATCTACTAGAGTTAAAATAATATTTCAGTCAACATAATCAGACATCGCTGGTTTTTTTGAATAAGGATTAAGAACCTAGATTTTTCCATGTTTTGTGAATGATTGGTAATCAAATAAAAAGAATCCCCATAAAAATACCTTTAGTACGTAAATTCCCAAGTATAAAAATGTGTTTATTAGTTGGGTGGGTAGGTACTTGAAAAAAAATAGGTTTAAATGTGAAATAATAATCGTAATCCGATTTCGTTTAAAATTATTTTATTGTAATAGGTATCATATTTCTATAAGTCTGCACATATTATAGCAACCACATACATACGACATATTAGACACTTTCATTGAAAAGTATATATTTTTAAACTTTAATAGTTCTTATGTGAGTCCGTATAGGTTTACCCGTAGGCCATGATGATAAAAATACTCAAAGTAAAATATTATTTTTATCGTGGGGATCTACCTATTTATTTAGTGTATTTGTAATAACAGTTACTATCGTTGGATATTATTGTGAATTACTTATTTTGATCATAGCGAAGTATGCGCACAGTCGCACAGACGCACAGTCTAGACGTAACTATGTATAATAAGACGTATCATAACATAGTTGTACACTTGTACCATAACCAAAGTTTAGACTTAAGAGCTGTGTACATTTTAATGCCTATCCAGAGCCCAAGGTGGGTAGAAGTGGTGAACCATTTTCGGATAACGTCTAAAAATGTAATCAAAGTTTTATAATAAATTCATGTGCCAGTATGGTGTTGAAAGACACCTACTTTATGTATAATGTATAATGTATATACATACGATTTCTGGGTGATGGGGGTTTTAAAAAAATCACTATAATTTTAAATATTAGTTGTATATTTTGTTGGTCTTAAATTGCTTAATGAAATACAAGCAACACTAGTATCATTCAACAATGTATTATAACTCTGATTTGATTTTAAATAGTTGATTGTGAAAAATAAACTTTCACGTACTTTACGCACAAAAACCAAAATAAATATTGTCGTAATCACTGTATTAACACTTAATTGTCTTAATTTAATAACATACCTACTTATTTTTTATGGTACCTATGTTTATAAGGACTAATTAACTATATAACTTGATAAAATGCATACATAGGTACAACCAATAATGTAATCCTTATGCCACCTACAATATACCCCAATCCCACTGATTACAAGCGTAAATTTTTCAGGTTTTTTAGACCTTTTTTAGTTAGCAATGTTAGTATCTACACTCAATTAGTCTATTACTCTATTATTATTCACATCTTGTTAGTATTACAATATTATAATAGTAACAAATTGTATAGGTGGCTGCGGTAAACCAACAATAGATATATTACTTTATCAAGTATTTAGTTGATTCACGTGCCTAGGTACCTAGTAAATCTTATATTATATTATATTTTGATATTTTTTTTCGAAAGTGTTATTAAGTTTTCCACTTAGAGCATTTACCTATTTATTTACTAATTCTGCTTTTATTAGTTGGTATTGTCATATTAAATATTAATTGTATTATATGATAATTTAATAAGCTTAGCATTTTTATCTTCTGGTATAGTTAGTTATTCGACGTTAATCAATATAATTATTATTTGCTATAGTTGGGTGTATTAAATATTAATATTATGTATATTAGGTATGGATGACGAGTCAACATTTTGAACAGTTGTTAGTTGAACTAATGTCTAATAATATTTAAATATAATAATATATGTAAATATAATATATATATTTATAATTAAATTGTCTTAATATAAATCAATATGATGGATTTAAATAAAACCACCGTTAGTAACGTTAGTAACGTTTACATTATAATATTTAAAAATTAGGGATGTTGTACGTATCTCTATATATATATATATATATACTATAAAGGAAAGTTACTTTAGCAATAATCAACTCAGAGTCGAACCTATTTGAGTTATCGAATTGAAATTTGAGGCTGAATTAATATTATAATGTCGAGTTCCACTAAGAAAGGATTTTGCAAAATTTTGATTTTAAAGGGTTGAAATCGGCTAAAATAAATTGTTTACGTACAAATTGTACATCCATATACATATTTTACAATACGGTGACCTGTAGGTTTCCATTACGACATG